GTGACGTGGTAGGTTAGTCCTTCCCCGAGTTATGTAGATTGGAATTTGTGAATAGGGAGGATGGATGGCCATCTCTTCTCCTTCTTCTTCGTCTTCTTCTTCTGTTTTTAGAGCCCTGGAGGTACTAGTTTCTTTTATGATATAATATAATAATGAGAAATAGAGAGAATTTAAAGAACATTAAAAAAGATTAATTGAAACTTGGTTGCCTTTTCTATGACTGACAGTTTTATTTTTTGTTTTCTTCTGTGGTTGTTGTTTGATATGTGCAATTTTTTTTTGAACAATTTACAATTTGAGAGGGGGATTTTTCAAAAAAGCGTTGGTGGAATTTGAAACATAGCCAACAAACCCGAGCACTTTAATGTTTGTGGGCAAACCACTGAGCCTTTGATATGTGTGCATTTTCAGTATACCTTCATTATAGGTCTTGATTCTCAATTGCAACTTTCTTCAAGATCAAATAAATCAATTCCATCAGAAATCATTGACAATCGTGGATTTGACACACAATAATTTGATCTTTCAAACAACAATCTGTCTTTGAGAATCAATTTTGATGCTGACTTCACATTCCCGAAACTAAAACATTTGATTTTGTCTTCTTGTAACTTGAGTTAATTCCCCAGTTTCCTAAGACATTCAAATGATCCTCAAGTTCTTGACCCTTCTGTTAACAATTTAAGTGGGAAGATTCCAAACTATCTCCAAATGTTGATGAGCAAAAGTCTTTCTGTGTTGAGTTTGCATGCCAATAACTTTGATGGAGATATACCATTTAGCTTTCCAGAGGGTTATGGATTGCAAAGTCTCAACTTGTATGGAAATAAAATGGAAGGCTTGTTGCCAAGATCTTTGATGAATTGTAGCTTGCTAGAGGTTTTAAACTTTGGAGACAACAAGATAGCAAATCTAAGATTGCTGGTTTTAAGGTCAAATAAATTCCATGGTTTTGTAGTTAGCACCAAAGAGCGTCCATCTTTTCCCAAGTTACGAGTCCTGGACCTCTCCGACAATGACTTTTTCGGTCCTTTGCCTGTTCCATACATGGAAATTTTCAAAGCAATAGTGGATCCTCATAGAGATGACAATTTTTCTCAATACATGATGACCCACGGCACTCGTATAGGGCTATGGCTTCTACCACCAAAGAGGTCATTTGGCTTCACAACTTATTACAAAATTTTGGTATTTGCCAATCTCGCTCCACACCACTTTACTACGATAATCAGGCAGCTCGCCACATTGTTGCCAATCCTATCTTTCATGAAAGGACAAAACATTTGGAAATTGATTGTCATTTGGTGAGTGAGAAATTTCAAGCTGGTATTGTTTCTGCACATTACCAATCTCTTCCTCTCATCAACCAGCTGATATTTTCACAAAGGCATTGGGCAAGGACAGTTTTTATTTGATGTGGGACAAGCTGGGCATTCATGACCCTCATGCACCAACTCGAGGGGGAGAGTAAACAGTATCTGGTATAAAGTATCTGGTATAAACAGTTTCTAGTAGAAATCTCTCGGAATCAGGAGTATATTTGTGTACAGTTATAACTCTCCTAGACTTTAGGCACAAGGTTAGTTAAGTTATGATTCTGATATAGTTCTTTTGTATATATATATATGTACAGTGACATACATTATGAATAGAGAATATAAATTAATTCAGCAATTTACACCATAAACACTGGTTGTCACAATGAAAGGATTGACGGTGAGATGCAGAGAATTTTAAGCATATTCACTAGCATTGATCTCTCAAATAATCAAACAAATGAAATTGAGAACTAAAATAAAATAAAATAAAATAAAAATAAAAAGACAAAAACCTGCAACTGCCCTCGACATCTTTCATGAGCTTGGAAACGAGGTTCTCACGGTGGTTGCGGCCGATGTGGCGCGGATGCCGCTGCATGTTGCGCTCCAATACTATGTGGAAGAACATGTTTGAGAGTGAAGAATGAGAGTTCCTCTCTCTATGGATTCTGGGTTCAGGAAGGAGGAAGAGAAAAAGTTAGGGCTTTTAGAAGGTAACTCTCAATTGATGAGAAATCTATGTCTTTCAATTCCAATATGAAATGTTAACTCTCTTGTTCTTGATTGATTTACACTGGTTAAGAGAAAACTGCTTACAAATTGGAGATGCAGAAAACAGAGTAAGACCATTCGACAGCTAAGTTGCAGGGCAAGAGAGAATATAGACGGCGATCACCTCAAACGACGGCAGAGCCAGGCTCACTTTGTAGAGATTGAAGACGAGAAAGACAGTTGATCGGATGGTGGAGATGTGGCGAAGAAGGCGGGAGCGTGCTCTTACTCACTCGAGGATCGGAGAGTCGTTGATCGGAGTGTGGAAGAGATGGATAGCAGGACGAGAGAGAGAAATCGGACGGTGGAAGTGGCGATTGCGGCTACGGCTACGGTGGTGCTTTTTTTTTCGGTTTCCCGCCCGGTATCCGGGGCTTTGCCCCGACTATTCCGGACCCGACCCGCGTCGCGCACCTGGAAATGGTGGGTGAGTCTCCCAGCGAGAACTGCTGCGTTCACAAGGTCTCGAACTCGAGACCTTACTTAAGCTGGAACAAGCCGTTTACCACTTGATCCAACCCCTCGTTGGTATGGCTACGGTGGTGCTGGGACTAGGGAATCGCGTGCTTTATAAACTGGCTCTCGTTCCTCTGAAGCATTATCCCTTCTTCCTCGCTCAGCTTGCTACATTCGGGTACTCTCCGCGCTGTTTGTGCTCTCTTTAGTTTTTTTCCTCCGTTTTAGGATTTCCAGATGCATGTTTTCCGTTTCCACGTCAGCAAATGCTTTTTTATCCTCA